ACTTCAACTCCCAGAATTCCCCAGCCAGCTATAGAATTCTGGGAGTTGAAGTCCACACATCTTCAAGTGGCCAAGGTTGAGAAACCCTGTGCTAGACCATATTAATCTTACTAAGAATATATGCCTAATGAGATCAGGAAAAAGTAAGCAGTAGACAACATAAAAGCCAGGGAAGTCGCCTTTAGGTGGCTCAGGAGGATGGTTTCTGTGTTTGAAGGGTGATGGAGGGTCCTGGTGATGCCACACTTTGACAGCCAGGACTGGTGGAATCTCCACTGGTCTTGCCCTTTTCTTGCATTTTGGTTGGAGAATTTACAGAGAAGGGTGGCTGAGCCTGGCAGGGAAAGGGAGGGTGGCTGTCGCGAGGCATCTGGAGGGAGCCTAGCGGGGGGTTATAGCGCTCCTTTTCAGCTTCCACTTTGCAGGCAGGGAAGAAATTAATTGCTGACGGGAAAGCAGGGAGAGCGGAAAAGAGATTTACTGTTTTTTTACTGCCCACCAACCTCTTTTATAGGCCAAGCTCTGAGAGGCCTTTGGAGGAGTTAAAATGCCACTCTCCTGATTAGCCTTTTCATGGCTAAAAGAGGAACCGATCCTTTCTATCTGTCTTGCAATGTTAGGGATAAGAGGAAAAATTCACAAGAAGGTTTGGGAGTACTGAAGGTTGTTTGGCTGGATCCTGGGGACCCAGCCAGCACCCCGCAAGCCATGATGGGGACATCACACATTAGAAGGCAGGTAAGGGGCTGAGGGAATAACCTCCACTCTGCTGTGGCTGGAGACTGAAGTAACAACCAGGGGCTTTTCCGGTCCTTTTCCAGCAGCTGAAGACTTTCAGGAGGGCCCCAGAGGGCAAAGGCAGAGTTAGGCTGCAGAATTGGCCTGCGGGAGGGCATTTTGGAAAAATTCAAGCTTCATCTTCTCAAAGTGGTTGGGGTTCAGGACGCAGGTGCAGGCCAGTTCACGTCCTCCATTCATTCACACCCCACATGGCATCGGGCCTGGTTCCTTGAGGGACTGCCCATCTCCCATGGCATCTGCCCAGCCGATTCGACCCTGCAGGGTTGCACACTCGGGTTCCTTCGATTAAACCAGTGTTGTCCAAACTTGGCCACTTTAAGATGAGTGGACTTCAA